TCTTCTAATTTATTAAAGAATATACATCAATAGGCCATAGTGCAAAATAATTACAATTTAGTATTAACACTGGAGTGATAGATGTGCAGAAGATGATGTGCAAATAGAGATACTGGGGTGCAATTGAGCAAAATAAATAACAATGTAAATAACAATATGGGGATGAGGTAGTTGGGTGGGCTAATTACAGATGGGCTGTGTAAAGGTGCAGTGATCGGTAAGATGCTCTGACAACTGATGCTTAAAGTTAGTGAGGGAGATAAGTGTCTCCAGCTTCAGAGATTTTTGCAGTTCGTTCCAGTCATTTGCAGCAGAGAACTGGAAGGAATGGCGGCCAAAGGAGGTGTTGGCTTTGGGGATGACCAGTGAGATATACCTGCTGGAACGTAGGTAGGCCTACCTCTTATGGTATGTCGGGACTGATGGTCTGTTTACATAGCAGATTAGCATAATGGCAGGTTAGGTGAATTAACGTAGAAGGTTAGGGGAACTAACAGCAGGTTAGGTGAAATAAAGTAGCCAGTTAGGAGATTGAGGTTAAGGTTAGAAAAAGGGATAGGGTTAGCTACAATTGTCAACAACTTTTGTCCCCGACGCGACCAGTAGATGGAGGTGTAGGCCTACTCTATCTAGCTCCATGGTAGAAACCAGGTCAGTTAAGAACAAATTCTTATTTACAATGACGGCCTACACCGGCCAAACCCGGACGACGCTGGGCCAATTGTGCACCGCCCTATGGGACTCCCAATCACAGCTGGTTGTGATACAGTCTGGAATTGAACCAGGGGGTCTGTAGTGACGCCTCAAGCACTGAGATGCAGTGCCTTAGACCGCTGCGCCACTCAGGAGCCCGAGAAAGGAAGGAGCTGTATAAGGCCAAAAGCAAACAACAAAATGCTCATCCAGAAGTAGCGCTCCTAGTGGCCGGAGACTTTAATGCAGGCAAACTTCCATCCAAATCCATTTTACCTAATTTCTACCAGCATGTCACGTCAGAGAAAAAAAACTCTAGACCACCTTTACTCCACACACAGAGACGCATACAAAGCTCTCCCTCGCCCTCCATTTGGCAAATATGTCCATAATTCTATCCTCCTGATTCCTACTTACAAACAATAACTAAAGCAGGAAATACCAGTGACTCGCTCAATACGGAAGTGGTCAGATGACTGGAATATGTTCCGGGATTCATCCAATGGCATTGAGGAGTATACCACCTCAGTCACCGGCTTCATCAATAAGTGCATCGATGACGTCATCCCCACAGTGACCGTACGTACATATCCCAACCAGAAGCCATGGATTATAAGCAACATCTGCACCGAGCTAAAGGCTAGAGCTGCCGCTTTCAAGGAGCGGGACACTAATCCGGACGCTTATAAAAAATCCCGCTATGCCCTCAGACGAACCATCAAACAGGCAAAGCTTCAATACAGGACTAAGATTGAATCCTACTACACCGGCTCTGACACTCGTCAGATGTGGCAGGGCTTGCAAACTATTACGGACTACAAAGGGAAACCCAGCCGCGAGCTGCCCAGTGACGCGAGCATATCAGACGAGCAAAATGCCTTTTATGCTCACTTCGAGGCAAGCAACATTGAAGCATGCATGAGAGCACCAGCTGTTCCGGACGACTGTGTGATCACGCTCTCCGTAGCCGATGTGAGTAAGACCTTTGTGAGTAAGATGTGACCCCTGCTGCTGTTTATTATATATGCATAGTCACTTTACCCCTACCTACATCAACAATTTACCTCGACTAACCTGTAGCCCCGCACATTGACTCGGTACCGGTACCCCCTGTACATAGCCTCGGTATTGTTATTTTATTGTGGTACTTTTTTGTTGTAGTTGACTTTAGTTTATTTAGTAAACTCTATTTCTTGAACTGCATTGTTGGTTAAGGGCTTGTAAGTAAGCATTTCACGGTAAGGTCTACACCTGTTGTATTCGGCGCATGTGACAAATAACATTTGATTTGATTGCAGTGTACAGTGCATAGAGGGGCTGAGCTGGTTGATTTCGCCTCAGTCAAGAAATGCAACTGAAAAGACAAGATTTGTGTCTTGGAGGCTTGCTTTGATGAGGGTGTTTCTTGTGCTTGTCTTATATATTTTATAGATCAATAAAAAACGAACTTCCCCTTTAACGATACTATATTCCCAGAGTTCCTTCATCTTCTACAAGCCCCTCAGGTTTACCCATTCTGGGCCTATGCACTCCTGCCAGCCTGTAGCGTGTCACAAATGCTTCACAATTTTTTTTTTTTATGGCATGCTATAGCCTTTAAATAATAATATAGCCTAAATAATTAATTTTGTTCCTTAGGCTACCTGGCTTGCTGACTTAGAGTTACTATGTTATTTAATAGCCTGTTGAAATGTCGAACGAATTGATAGTGACAGAATCACACATTACTTCCCAAGCAAAGTAAATGATTGGTTGTAGCGCAGCCTCTGTATGTCATAGAGACAAACCAAAGATATCCCATATGCATCGGAGTCACGTCTTTCCCGGCATTTTACAGCTTGTTTCTAGAATAAAGCATTGCGGAATAAAGCGTAGTTATAGATCGCTTTATATAATCAGGTCTATTCAAATTTGTTCTAAAGCCACAAATCCCTCACATACCCCCTCAATTCGAGCCATGGTTTTAACTTAACACACCAAGCCCTTCACTGACACTGAGATATTTAAGGAGTGCATGGTGACTGAAGGAATTGGCTGACAAAATCTATGGATAGTAGACTATAATTTCATCTGTCAAACAGGTAGGCATACCTCTTATTTCTTGAATAGGAATAAATAGGCTCCAACACAAAACCCTTGTTGTTAGTAGCCTAAAATCTAATTAAAATAAAGACTGGTTAATTGAATTAGGCCTTCTCGAATTAGCCTACTTTCAGCACCCATGCGATGTCCATCACCGCGTCTGCCGCTTCATAGTAATGTCAGTTATGTAAATTTCTCGAATATGGCTTACTGTGAGGTCAATAACTCTGATAAATAGCTTCATTATGGGCAACAAAACAGTTTTTATTCTAAATCAATTATAGCAGTGGCAAGTTTACCTCCGGTCCTCATCTTCATGCTCTTCCTCTCAAACTGAACAGGACATCAGTAGGCCTAGTCAGCACGCACAGATATAGCTTTTTTTTTTACACATTTTGTTTTTTGGAAGAAACCTTTGACTCGCTTCCTGAAGTGCCACCACACACAGCACATTCATTGGTTAGGCAGAACAAAAGGCAGGGCAGGCAGAAAGAAAGAGCAGGAAGGCTGGGGCTCATCATTGGGAACGGCTATCCATTGCAGTGTGTAATGCAGTGTAGCCTAGTTTTATATACACCATCCCAGCATCGCAAAAACTCGGGAAGGAAGTACATTTTCTTAGAAATATAATTTTGCCCTGTGCTTCTCCAAGCGTGCTCTTCGTATAGCCTATGACTATAGACTTTAGTATAGGCTATGGATCATTTGAGACCACACTAGGCGCGCGATATTTCGTGCCCAGCAGAGTATCAGGGATATGACATTTAATCAATTACAAATTACATGACCCTCCCCTGGACTAAATAAAAATATACTAAACCCTCCCCGTGACTGATAGTGTTAATTTCAACCGCTCCCTAATATCTTTCTTTCCTATCGATTGGCAGTCCTCCATCACCCTGATTGTTAAAACGCCAGCTGATTCTAGCCATCCCTTCTGGTTAGCTCTAGTCGGGCAGCTTAGTCTCCCATTCAGAGGACCCCCACTTTTGTTAGTGTCACGCCAAATAACACCATAAGAGCCGCTGCGTTTTGCTTACCAAAGATAGATACGGGAAAAGGAAGCAAGAGCTGTGCAATAGGGCAGTGTTGTTCCTTGTTTGAAAGCTTGTGTGTAATTTGTATTAAAACTGTTGATCTCATGCACCGTAATTCTTTCCTTGCGTCCACACAATTCTGAATAGACTTTACAAAGTAAATTGTGCTGTTGAAATAAATCTACCAACCATAGACTGGGTTACTACAGATGGTCTATTGGGATAAGAGCATCTGCTAAATGTTGTAAATAATTCAGCAAAATTACACAAGTTCCCCTACCCTATGAACAGTGACAAACTGGAATTAGTGTTCTCAATCTAACTGCACAGCAATTGGAAGTCAATGTTCCCCTAATTACCCTATAAAGCAGTCTGACCAATAAAGCAGTATGAAAAATGTATGCACTCAAGTCGCTCTGGCTAAGAGCTTCTGCTAAATGACAAAAATGTAAATGAAAAAAACGACTGCAATCTAGGCCTCCCAAGTCATAGTGGGAAGACCACACCATAATTGCATGATGCTAAAGTGTACTTAGGTATGATTATATTGATATTTGCACATAAGTGTTTCCACCATTTCTCACAATACATTTAACCAATGCAAGCTCCCATGCAAACAAAGTCGGTCTGCATTTATAAAATTACACCAAAACTTCCATCACAGCTGTGGATATTTTATTGGATATGACTATTCGCATAACTGTGGCTGGCAACGTGGTTGAGAAACTGACTGGATGAGTGACTAAGTCAGTGCTACAAAATATCTACAAAAATTGGCTACAGGACTAAACATTCTGACACTGGTCTAGTAGCTGGAAGTTACAAGTGAGATTAAACTTTGCCATGACAATATTAACCAAAATATGGTCCTTATCAAAAGCTCTGAACAGTGGTAAAAGCACTTGAGATCAACATTTAGAAGTTGAGGTGGAAGGTCACCATGTTTTATTTTGTCTTCAAGGCATTGTGCCTTAAAAGGCACAACATATTCCATGTGAAATCTAATAGCTTTGTTGTGAAAACAGAAAATTACTGTTCCATTGTGTAGCAAACAAAGTTGCAATAGAAATGTGACACCACAACCTTTTTTTCTAACTTTAAAATGTCACTGACTCAAAGCCACAAGAGGGTAGAACATTTCAAACGTTGCTCGTTAGGGGGAGGTAGTTGCAGAAACGTTGGAATGTTTTAGTCGACTTCCTCAATAGTTGGTCCAGATGATCCACTGCCTCCAGGAGCAGCGCCACCAGCTCCGGGGAATCCACCAGCCATGCCTTCGGGCATACCACCAGCACCCTGGTACAACTTGGTGATTATTGGGTTGCAAACCTTCTCCAGCTCCTTCTGGTGGTGTTCATACTCTTCCTTCTCAGCAGTCTAAAGAAAATTAAACAGATTGGCAACATTAGCAAAATATTAAATTGCCTGCAAATGAGATATTTCACTTAGGTCGCTCAGACATCCAAGGAAGGTATTGGGCCATCTTTGGTCTTTCAACCTCTGGTGGAAACTACGAATGGCAGGCGTAAACTTCATCACAGCGAGTGGGCCAAGACTGTACAAGGCACACCAAATCAATTCTTACCTGGTTCTTGTCAAGCCAACCGATGACCTCGTTGCACTTCTCCAGAATCTTGGTCTTATCCTCATCACTGATCTTGCCCTGCAGTTTCTCATCCTCCACAGTAGACTTCATGTTGAAAGCATAGGACTCCAGTGAGTTCTTGGAGGAAACCTTGTCACGCTGCACATCATCCTCACACTTGTACTTCTCAGCCTCCTGGACCATGCGCTCAATGTCCTCCTTGCTCAGACGACCTGATGGCAAAATACAATCAAATCAACCAAAGTATAAAAAATGACCCAACTGTACATCGTTGTAGATTCAAAACTACTATCGTTGTCGCTCAGACATCCAAGGAAGGTATTGGGCCATCTTTGGTCTTTCAACCTCTGGTGGAAACTACGAATGGCAGGAATAAACTTCATCACAGCGAACCTATTGGGTTAGGGCTAGTAATTGTAGCCCATTTACTGGTCTCACAAACTTACCCTTGTCGTTGGTGATGGTGATCTTGTTCTCCTTGCCAGTGCTCTTGTCAGCTGCAGACACGTTCATGATGCCATTAGCATCAATGTCGAAGGTGACCTCAATCTGAGGAACACCGCGAGGTGCAGGGGGGATTCCAGTCAGCTCAAACTTGCCCAACAGGTTGTTGTCTTTGGTCATAGCCCTCTCACCCTCGTACACCTGGGGGATACAGTCTATATTAGCAAAACATACATGGTCTTCAAACGAGAAGTACATTTAATTAATAGTCGCTCAGACATCCAAGGAAGGTATTGGGCCATCTTTGGTCTTTCAACCTCTGGTGGAAACTACGAATGACAGGAGTAAACTTCATCACAGCGAGTGGCCAAAGAAGTCAGGAAACATTGTTTTGAAATGCCATGCATGCCCTTTCTCACCTGAATGAGCACACCGGGCTGGTTGTCTGAGTAGGTGGTGAAGGTCTGGGTCTGCTTGGTTGGGATGGTGGTGTTCCGTTTGATCAGGACGGTCATGACACCTCCAGCGGTCTCAATACCTAGGGACAGTGGGGTGACGTCCAGCAGAAGCAGGTCCTGGACATTCTCAGACTTGTCACCTGAGAGGATGGCTGCCTGGACAGCTGCAAATGAGAATGGAGAGGTTAGACTCATGTAAAAACATCACTGTAGAGCCACAGTAACATTGTTTCTCAGACATCCAAGAAAGGGGTTAGGCCATCTTTGGTCTTTCGACCTCTGGTGGACACTACAAATGGCAGAGAAGAAAAAAATATATGTCGCAGCGTAACTAGTTCTAGCAGCCCGTCGGCCAGAGTGAACACAAGATGATCAGTGACCCACCTGCGCCATAGGCCACAGCCTCGTCGGGGTTGATGCTCTTGTTGAGCTCTTTGCCGTTGAAGAAATCTTGGAGCAGTTTCTGGATCTTGGGGATACGAGTGGAGCCTCCGACCAGGACGATGTCGTGGACCTGGGCCTTGTCCATCTTGGCGTCGCGGAGGGATTTCTCCACTGGGTCCAGGGTGCCACGGAAAAGGTCTGCATTGAGTTCCTCAAAGCGAGCTCTGGTGATGGAGGTGTAGAAGTCGATTCCCTCGTACAGAGAGTCAATCTCGATGCTGGCCTGGGTGCTGGAGGACAGGGTGCGCTTTGCCCTCTCACAGGCGGTGCGGAGACGGCGAACAGCTCTCTTGTTGTCACTGATATCTTTCTTGTACTTCCTTTTGAACTCTGCAATGAAGTGGTTGACCATGCGGTTGTCAAAGTCTTCTCCACCCAGATGGGTGTCTCCAGCAGTGGACTTGACCTCAAAGATGCCATCCTCGATGGTCAGGATGGACACATCAAAAGTGCCGCCACCAAGATCAAAGATCAGGACATTCCTTTCAGCACCAACCTGAGACAGGAGAGGATATTCAGTATTTGCAATGAGGATGTACAATCAAGAACCAATCTGACACAGCTAGATCGTCGCTCAGACATCCAAGGAAGGTGTTGGGCCATCTTTGGTCTTTCAACCTCTGGTGGAAACTACGAATGGCAGGAGTATACTTCATCACAGCGAATAATCACTGCATTGCAGTCCTTTTCAACAGTATAACGATCATAGCAAGCCATTTACCTTCTTATCCAAGCCGTAGGCAATGGCAGCAGCAGTTGGCTCATTGATGATACGCAGTACATTCAGGCCTGAGATGGTGCCAGCATCTTTGGTTGCCTGGCGCTGGGAGTCGTTGAAGTAAGCAGGCACGGTAACAACTGCATTGTTGACAGTCTAGGGAAAGAAAATGTCAATACATTTCAATAATAGGGAGTGATGTTATCAGAAACTGACGAATCATGGCAAACTAAAAACTACACCATCCTGTTCCGAGTTAAAGGAAATAAACATGTATAAGTCAATTTGACAGTTTGCACATTTTAAATTCTTACTTTTCCAAGGTAGGCTTCTGCAATCTCCTTCATCTTGACCAGAACCATGGAGGAAATTTCTTCTGGGTAGAATGACTTAGTCTCTCCTTTGTATTCAACTTGGAGCTTTGGTCGAGTAGAATCATTGATCACTTCGAACGGCCAATGCTTCATATCCGATTGAACAACTCCATCATCAAACCTGCGGCCAATCAGTCTCTTGGCATCTAATAAAAGACTAACCAGTTAGATTACACTTAAAGCCATCCAAGGAAGGGTTTGGGACACCTTGCCTTAACCTCTGGTGGAAACGACAACTGTCAGAAATAAACTTCAATGAAAAGGGGCTTAGTGGTTAAGAGCATTGTGCCAGTAACCGAAAGGTCGCTGGTTCTAATCCCCGAGCCGACTAGGTGAAAAATCTGTCGATGTGCCCTTGAGCAAGGCACTTAACCCTAATTGCTCCTGTAAGTCGCTCTGGATAAGAGCGTCTGCCCTTTGGCGCACTATACAACTAACAAAACAATTTCAAATTAAAGTTCACCAATTTAATGACAAAATATCCGAACTTTAAAAACATACCAAATACTGTGTTGCAGGGGTTCATGGCAACCTGATTCTTGGCGGCATCACCAATGAGCCTCTCTGAGTCTGTGAAGGCAACGTAGCTTGGAGTGGTCCTGTTACCCTGGTCGTTGGCAATGATTTCAACCTTGCCATGCTGGAACACACCCACGCAGGAGTAGGTGGTCCCGAGATCAATGCCGACTGCAGGACCTTTAGACATGTTGCCTAAACACAGTTACAGGGTGTCAGTTCAAGTCGTCCAAAAACAAATTAAGTTCTATTAATTAAAGTATATATTATATAAATAACAATGTGATGTATCGTGAAGTTGCGCAACAAAATTACTTCTGTAAATAAATATCGCCCTTCAAATGTGTGTCACACCACGTGGGGTGCAGTTTCCATGACGCGTTCACGTCATGTCGGAAACTTCCAAGTGCGAAATCTGGTAGTCTTTACGAGTAATCAAGTCGGAAGTTTCAGACGTGAACGCGGCAACTAGCTAGGCCGATAACCACGAGGACTGCCGCGCGCCTTTTCCTGTAGTTATCATACTGTGTACAAACGTTCAGTCAGTGTTGTAACATAAAAACCGTTGGAAACAGTCAGTCGAATGTCTTTCAAACAGCCTGCATTGCAAATGACCAAACTCGACCGACATATACAACACAAAGGTTGACCGGCTAGCTAATTAACGTTAACACACTGTTCGATATACTTAGTTAGCTAGCCTACTTAACTAGGTTAGATAAACAGGCGAAGTAAATTGGGATGATAATGTTAAGACATTGCAGTGACTCAAGCTAGTTAGTTCAGGTAGGTGAGTTTATTAAAACAATCTGTCTACTAACGTTAGTTAGCCAGTCTTCTTCAGACCGGATACCGACGTTAGCTAGCATCTAGCCGGCCAATTGTGGATATAAAATGCATCTGCTTATGGCGAACTAAATAACTGCTGCGAACTAAAATAACTGCTTTGATTACATTACGATGAAATTAAACAATTTTGTACTAACCAATTTCGTGACCGAGGGTGATGCAGATGTTGGTCGGGGGTCGAACAACGGCAACTCGTTTTCTTCGCCTTGTGAGAGAATAGAGAAAGAAGGTAAGAACATTCTGTAACGTTTATATCGTCGGCAACGCAACCAATCATAGCTCTGGATTCCACTTGCCACTCCAAACCACCAATAAAAACACAGGACAGCCCAAGCGTTCCCTCCCACTTATGAGAAAAAGACTCAGCGCTCTTGCCGCCTTCAAAACCACCCGATACAGAACCAATCAGTCGATATAATCGAGAACAATCATCAGAAATCACGCGATATGAATCAGACAGTGTGGCGCCGCCTGAACCACTAGTTGGTCAGAACGTTCAAATCAACGTTTCATATAGTAATTTCCGAGAATGCAAAAAGCATCAACCACGGCTGTTATTACACCCGGTATACGTTGGTGGCGGTAATGACCATTTTTATTGTGCTTTAACGAAATCTAGAAGAAGATCTTCTGACGTCCTTTCCCTTCGTCAAAGGTAATTCATTAATCGTATAATTTTTTAAAACTGTGATTTAAAAAGCTAATGTAATGGATTTTAAAAAGTGTTTTTACCCCGGGATAGCCCGCTAATATGACCCATAGTAGGGAAAAACATGCCTTGAGTGCAATTCGATTTGAATATATAATCAATTTAAAAGGATTTGCAATTTTGCATTAGCAGTCTTTTCGGCTTAAATTTCCCGGGAACCATGGCATGGTGTCATTTCCTGTTTTCGGTGCTAGGCTGCGTGTCCTGCCTCTGTCTTAAATATCCATATTTATACCGATGTGTGCAATAGTACACTTTATCGCATGGATTTAAACACTCTCTAGCCAATGCTTACACCATTCATATAACCAGGAACCAATATCCGAAGTGGGTACTTAGAAAGACTCATTTCATATGTGCCTACATTTAAAATGCATATGAGGGTGTACTTTGGAGGCACTATGGGCAGAGCAAGATGTGATTGGGCCTACAATGACCAAAAAAGGTTGAGGACCACTGGACTAGGCAAGTATTAGATGGTACATTATAACAATTCCAACAATAGTCATCCATTAGCCAAGATGGCCAAAATATTCCTGTCCCATGCTTGTTGAAGCCCAAAGATGTCATCACCTGTCTGGAGGCATTTCAGACTACTTAATGTCCATGCGAAGCACAACTTCCTACCCATAACTGTCTTTAGATTCCCTATAAGAAAATAATTAAGTGAAAGCAAAGTAACTCCACTATCAATCAATCAATCAAATGTATTTATAAAGCCCTTTTTACATCAGCAGATGTCACAGTGCTATACAGAAAACCCAGCCTAAAACCCCAAACAGCAAGCAATGCATGTGTAGAATCACTAGTCATGCATTATGATACAGTAGATAATGATGTGTCCTATGTATCAGATCATTTAAATGTAATTAATATTATATCTTCATTTAGAATAAATCAAACTTAGTTGTCATTGTCTTGCTTTTCTTTACAGATGCCATCTTTTGGAAGGAAAAGAGCCACGCTGGTTTACAGAGACCTGACTAGAGGCGTGATAGCATGTACACCCCTGCCATCAACTTGGATCGGTGAGAAAGTTGCTCTGTTCCGTTCTGTTGAACTTAATTTAACCAGGATAGTCCACTCAGTAACAATTGTGAGAGCCGGTTCCATCTGCAGTAGAAGTTGTGCCCAGCTGCAGTGATGCACCTCCTCCACCAGCATCAAAAAAAGGAAGGCAGTGGATGTTGAGGCCTGGAAGGGGTTGAGGGAGCTACTCCACATGCCTGCAGTGGAGCTGGAATGTCCTCCACCCAACGCCATCTGCATTGTGTGTAGAGTTTTAGAGGAGGCTGAGCTATGGCGCTGTGGGGATTGTGGCTCAGATAAATATTTCTGTGCCACCTGTGCTGTGAGAACACACAGCACTCCAAACCCAAAACCCAGAAACTGGACATAACTGGTGTGTTTGGAATGGCGTGCAGGCACGAGCATCCGCTGAAGTTCCTGAACCTGAAGAAAGGAGAGAAGTATGTCGATGGATGCATGTGGATGGATGGATGCTTCAGATGTGTAGCTAATGTATTTTAGTTATATCAAATAAAATGTTATTTGCCACATGCGCCGAATACAACAGGTGTAGACATTACAGTGAAATGCTTACTTACAAGCCCTTAACCAACAACGCAGTTTAAGAAAAAAATTAAAATAGCAAATAATTAAAGAGCAGCAGTAAAATAACAGTAGGGAGGTTATATACAAGGGGTACCGGTACAGAGTCAATGTGCGGGGGCACCGGTTAGTCGAGGTAATTGAGGTAATATGTACATGTGGGTAGCGTTAAAGTGACAATGCAGAAATAATAATAAACAGAGTAGCAGCAGCGTAAAATAGGGTGTTGGGGTGGGGGGGCAGGCAATGCAAGTAGTCCAGGTAGCCATGATTAGCTGTTCAGGAGTCTTATGGCTTGGGGGTAGAAGCTGTTAAGAAGCCTTTTGGAACTAGACTAGGCGCTCCGGTACCGCTTGCCGTGCGATAGCAGAGAGAACAGTCAATGACTAGGGTGGCTGGATTCTTTGATAATTTTTAGGGCCTTCCTCTGACATCGCCTGGTATAGAGGTCCTCTGTAGTGCCTTGCGATCAGAGGCCGAGCAGTTGATGCAACCAGTCAGGATGCTCTCGATGGTGCAGCTGTAGAACTTTTCTCAGTTGGCTACGATGACTGATGTTGAACTGTCATTTCAGGCTTGCAAATGCTGTGTTCCTGCTGGGGGACCTGAAAGCAATGCAGGGACCAAACATCACAACGTTTCTTCACTATGACATTGAATGCCAGCTGAAGCCTCATTTACAGGTAAAATTGATAGATTCATCTATGTTAGCTATTATAATACATTAGATACTGTATTTAATATTTAACCACCACCCTGTAGTAAGATATTCATGAATGGCTTGATACGGTTTTATGAATGGCTTGAAACAATTTGCTCCATACCTGCTTTGTAATCATAAGTCATATTTTACACAAAAATGCACAAAATAACTGCTCCTACACTAAATTATTTTGACATTTAGAAAAACAGTCCCGATCTGATAGTGGACACCACATTTGCAGTGCAGGCCTTTCATGCCTATGCTCATGATGCTGACTGTCAGGTAATGAATACATTTATTTATTTATAATTTATTCTGTTAAACACCAATTATTTGCCCTACCAATATTAAGAAACAGCTAGTTGTAATTTGTTCTAGTCCCTTAATTAATCATCATCACACATTGTAATGCTCATTATGGTTTCTGATTGTACTTTACATTTCAGGTCACTGATGGTACCAGGTATGTGACTGGTAGTGGGCTGACGGAGAACAGATGGAGAGGTTGTGGTCCTACCTTACAACATTTGGGAAGATCACAAAAGAGATGACACCATCTCATCGTGTTGACACCCTCACCGATGCCCTCCTCTACTACGCAGCCAGGGTCAGAGAGAAGCAAGGTATACATGTAGAACTGGATACATAACAGAACATTAAGGATCCTCACCTCCACCACACTCTCCAACAGTTCAGTTCTGGTGGCTGCCTCAGCCAGCAGAGGCGACCCTCTCCTGGTCATTCCCTGGTCAAATAAGGCTTTCAAAACCTCTCTTTGATCAGAAAGAATTTACGATCTTCTTTGTCCTAAGAACAGAATGACACTTGTTAAGACATATCCTAATCCAGTGTTATATATGGATCAGTATACATATCACAGACTTCATATGAGAAGTGGGCCATAATCAGCTAAGAAATTACTAAGGCATAATACAAGATTACAAGCAAGGCAAGCCCCATAGCAGATTATACTGACTTCACATTATTCACATCCAGCCATAGGTACAGTATGATGCAATAAGGCATGTTTCAGTATAAGCTTTGTGCCCTTAGCCATTAACATACTAAAAACCTACTTCACTGATTATTGCTAGGATTTACTAGTGAGATTGTTTCCATGGTATGTTGGCTGATGCGGTACACTGTTGTTATGTTACTGTGTTGTGTTGCTATTGACATGGTGATTTTGCTTCTGTTTCTAACTAACTTTGTAACAACAGGCTGTAAAATCAGAACAAACTTTATTCACCAAGAATATTTACATGTACCAGGAATTTGACCTGGTGACATGGTGTTGATATACAGTATATGGATTATAAGAATATTATAACAATATTACAAGGGCTCA